TCCGATCACAGTTATGCCTCTATTGCTGGGTTAAGCTGCTTGCTTTTCTTTTTAATATTTCTATTTAAATTATTGCATACCTCAGGAGCATGGAAATGTAAAGGATTTAAAGGGATGCACATAAGGTATTAAGCTGGCTGTGTTTCTCTATTTTCTTGCATTAGCTACTTCACAGGGAAAACATGTGAATGAAAAGGACTCAAAGGAAAGAAGCAGTTCTTAGAGAAATAATGGAGCTTTCCAGCAGGGCGTGGTATATGGTCTTGCCTAACGGTGCAGTGTCAGTAGGACTGTCAGGATGTCCTGATCTAGGTCTTGCATTGTTTGCCTGACTCTTTGGCCTGTACTTTGAATTGCCTCAGCTCTGTGAATGGTAGGTTCTGGAGCACCAGAGGACTTCTGGTGCTTCCGAGGCATTTCCAGATGAGCTTTATGGCATCTTCCCTTTTGATTGGGGCGTGGGAACTCATAAAATAGCTTGGAGGGATTTTGCTGAGGCTGGGGAGCCAAAGATTCAGCCTTGGAACCTGTCTCTGCTTGATTTCCAGGTTCATTCTGATAGCGTGTGATGGCCTCTTTAAAGTCTTTACACCAGAAGAAGCTGTGAACTTCATTGTATCCTGCCTGGAGGTGAGGAGAAGGCAGCGTGGGGGCTGGGTTTGTCAGGGCAGGGGACACGAAATGGAATGCCTCCAGCTTGCAGAAATGTACTTCTGCCAGGGTATCCTCCCTTTTACATGAGGTTGTCCTTATTTGTTTTGCTTCCCCATGCTTGGAAATTACTATGTGCTTGCATCTACGTGCTTTGCTGGGAGCAGTCAGCATCGTCTTTCCTCATCCCAACAGGATAAGAACATCCAGACGAGAGAAGGGAAGCTAGAAGCAGATGCTAGATATGAAGCTGCCTGTAACAGACTGGCCAACAAGGCAGTACAGCGAGGGTCAGCAGACAACGTTACGGTCATGGTGGTCCGGATAGAGCACTGAGAGATGAAGTGCGGCAGCAGGATCCCTAGCTTGCAGCGGATGTAAGGGAATAAAGAAGTCGGTGTGCGTGCATGTGTGGCCAGGGGAGGGAGGGTCCTGCTGGATGCTCTTCAGTGTAAATAAAGGTGGTTTGTTTTTTTTTTTTTCTAATAGTTTTAGCTCACTTGGCTAGCAGTGTTTTCTAAGTGGCTGCCACAGTGGATCAGCCTATGCGGAAATCTCTTGTCCTGTCAACCCCCCGTGAATGTCTTGGCAAACCAAATAAATCCATTTTGCAGAGGTGCTAGCAAGAGCAGGCATCTGTGGGCATGAACTCTGCCAGCTGTTCCAAATGGTGCAGTTCTGCTGTTCGTTTCTTTGAGCTTTGCGTGAGGCCCTGGGAGAGTCCTGAGCTCTTAAGACTCAGTGGGAGCTCCCATTCGGGCTGTAGCGTACAGACTGTGCAGTACCCCAGGCCACCAGGTTGTGATGCAGTGTGGGCTGTTCTCTTAGTGCTGGGAAGGAAATCTTTTGGTTCTGAAGCTGGGTTGTGAGGTTGCATGAAGCTGAGTGATACAAACTCTGCTTGCAGAGCAGCAGTGTACCTTCCCTCTGCTTGCAGAAAACATTGAGGTTTTATCCCAGTTGTTAATATGGCAAAAGTAGCTGGAGTTTGCTCCTGATGTTTATTGGGAAAGTGTGTTCACCAAATGGACCTGCCAGGCAGCTGAGATAAGGGCAGGCTCTGTGTTTGTCTGTGTGCTATCTGAGGAGCAGGCATCTCAGGTTTTAGGTACTTGTTGCTATTAAGTGTCCTGTATCTCATCCCATCCCCATTTCTCTACCAGCTGTTGCTGCAGAGAGTTGGTGTGATGTTTTCCAGAAAAAATTTGGCTTAAGACCAAATGAGAGAGTGAAAGCTAAACAGACTGGGCTACCAAAGCACTTGAATTCCAGATTACTCGACTTTCCCGTCCTGTGGGTGAGACAGTGCAATGAGGGAGGTGAGCCGGTGGGTCCGTGCAGTGGTTTCTTGCACAACCTCCTCACTCTGCATGAGAAACGGTGCAGTCCCAGAGAGAGGTTGGGTAGGTTGGTGGCAGTGGTGCCTGCCGTTTTGTGCATAGTCCTGTGCAGGGTTGCGAGGCTTCCCCAGCTCTTTTCTGTTCCCTGTGTTTTCTGGAGCTTTGGGAGATGGTCTTGGATCCTGGGCTGTCTGTTTTCTTGAGCACGCAAAAGCCGTCCTGTTGTTTGGGACAGGTGACTTGACTTCTTTCATCTATTTGTGCTACAGTAGAAGTCAGTTAAAGTTCACGGGCCAAGTTACAGCCTAGCTTGCACTAGCTTTCCGGCACATATTTTGGGTAGTGCGCGCACACGCCTCCACCAGCTTGTTCTGCTCCCAGCCATGCCTGTGCACTCTGATGTAAGGTTACACTGCAGGGTGAGCTGAGAAGGAATTGCCCGTATTAGTAACATGCTCTGCTGTTTCTGCTCTTGAAAGCTGCATCTGGAGAGCCAAGACAGAGTAGTATGGAGTTTGTTCAGTCTGTGGCAAAAGAAACCCTGATGGCAGATCTCAGAAAGGCAACTCGCCCTTCCTTCTCTTCCTGCTTTTCACAGCTCTTGCACTGGGGAGAGCCGTGTGCTGCGCTGCAAGAGCTGAGCCAAGCACCCCTCTCTCTGGTGCTCCCTCCAGGAAGCCCCTCTTAATTCCAGTGCAAGAACTGGTGAGAGCAGTATCAGCTTGTCCTTCTCTGACTGTCTTCTCTCCCCCTCCCTCCTCTTAAAACTCTTCTTTCCTTCCCTTTGGAAAGAGTAATGAAAGCATAACTCCAACTAGGAACAATAATGCACAGTGTTATGGTACAGTTAATAACTGTTTCCATAAAATGGATCTTATTGTCCATTTTTCAGGGCAAAGGGGAAAAGGAAGCACTGTGGAGCAGGTTTCACCATGCTTGTGAGTAGCCAGACAGTTAGAAGGGCAAGTTCAACCCCAGCTTTAGTGGAAGTCAAAAAACGGTTTGCTTGTATTTCCTGGTAGGGTGGGGTCTGGAAGAGGTTTCCTGAAAATAAACTCTGCTACCATGGGGAGCTCTGGGACCACCACCCTGGTGTGGCCCATGTAGAAGTGCTGTACATGCAGCTCCCCTCCCTTGGGGCTGACTGAGTTTCTAATCCCCCCCCCAGCACCTAAATTAGCCCCCCAGTAGCTCTGACTTAATCAAGTCTTTCAATTAACTTTCAATTTTGTGTTCAAGTGCACTGGGTTCTTTATTTCTCACTCGCAGAGGACAGTTTACCAGCTTGGCAAGCCCCACTCTCCCACAGCGAGTCCTTTTGTATCTTCTTGGGTGTGTTTGGTAGGAAGGGACGGTGGCTGATCTGAGCGAGACTGCCTTGGCTCATGGTCACGCATGGTAACTGGGAGATGCTGCCCAGGACGAGCTCCTCAGCTGGGCAGGAGCTGCAGAGGCCTCGTCTCTGCCAGGATGCTGCTGGGCAGGAGCTGCAGAGGCCTCATCTCTGCCAGGATGCTGCTGCCCATCTGTTTGGATGGGGGGAAAAGCACATCTTTCCTTTCAGAGACA